GTGCCCTAAGAAAAGACGCATAACTTGTGAAACAAGCGACTTCAATGTGTTTTGTTTTGGTGTGGTTTTGCAGGTGAGGGACAGATGCAAAAAGGAATGGACCATGTTCCAGAGTAGAATGGCTAACGCAGAGAAGGATTATTTCAAATCATTACAAGTTGAAGGATCATCCAATTCAACAGCAACCACCATCTAATAGGAGAGTTGTTAAGTAGCCAGACGCTGACAGATTCAGTTTACAGAAGTGTCTTGCATTTACATATAGAGTCTGTATATGTTAATGTAGTAAGATACCTTTCTCTTCTTTAACTCAGAACACAAATCTTCCATCTAATAAACAAAAAGATGAACGTGATAGTATTGATCCATTGAACCACTTGTGCATCTAGTAGGTTGAGATTGTGGGTTTACTTAATCCACAAGTAAATTTCTGAGCTAAGGAAAAGAGCAGTGTAGTGCGCTTAAGACGGCGTTGCGTGTTGAATAATTTCATGGATTAGTGGAGTCACACGTGTAACTTTCTAGACGCAAAGGAGACTCGGATGTTAGTGGAGACACAAGCCAAAAATTAGTGGAGTCACACGTGTAACTTTCTAGACGCAAAGGACACTACTCACAACCATGGGTTGGTCTCTATTACAAACCTTACGCGTGATGCCACGCGTTTAGACCGCTAGTTAAAAAGACAGAGGATTAGAGGTTAGTGGCTGTATCAACTTTAAGAAACTTCCTCTGTCTCTTTCAAGCTCCTGGAATATAAAACTCTTTTCATGAGAGACAAGAGTGAGTCTGAGGGAAAGAGGAAGAAGAATGGGTCTTTCTCATTACCCGACAGCGTCTGAGGGAGTAGTGCCAATGTTGGTTATGAACACGGTTGTTTCAGTGTCTTTGTTGAAGAGCATTGTAAGATCTGTTCTTCATGTGGTTAGCTCTGAGACCGATGATGCGAGGACCATAGAGGAAGACTCTGATCATGAGGATTCGGAGAGAAGAAGGAGAATCTCGATAACACACTTTGAATCTTTGTCTGCGAAGAACGGAGGAAGCAGGAAGGAAAGAGAGGGTATGGAGTGTTGTGTGTGTCTGTGTGGGTTTAAAGAGGAAGAGGAAGTGAGTGAGTTAGTGTCTTGCAAGCATTTCTTTCACACGGCTTGTCTGGATAAATGGTTTGGTAATAATCATACCACATGTCCTCTCTGTAGATCCATCTTTTAGTTATGGATCATACTCTCTACTTTCCTTTTATGGCTTTTCCC